GCTAGGCTAGAAAACAACTAATTTCTGTCAGTATACAATAACATAAACAGAAGCCAATAACAAAGCTTAATTCTTAATAAATGATTTCTAGCAGCATATCATATCAGAAGCAACAGCAAATATTGATTTAATCAGAAACAATTATATAGTAACATAAGCAATTCATAATAAAGGCAAACAGCCAATATTGATTCATATTGATTCATATACTCCTTCAGGATTATTCAAAGAAATGTTGCTAACTAAGACAGACAAACACATGTCACTGTCTCTCTCACCCATGGTGTATGTGCAGGGTCAGCCACGGGATTTTGGCATGCCCTCCCCACCCCCTTTTCTCTGTGTTTTTGTGTTTCAAGACAGTCTTGATTCCTGCAACTACAAGTCCATGCGTATTTATGGCAATATTTTTCAAAAGAGGTTTGCCATCTTCTTCTTTCTAGAGCTAAGAGAGAGTGGTTGGCTTTGTGCCTGAGGCCAATGCCTCAGTTGGTTTTGTGCCTCGGGCAGGTTTCCCAGTTTCTAGCTCAGCACCCTTAATCACTCTACTAAATTGGCTTTCCATTCTTTCTTGAGCTTGCAATAAAGGTGCTATAAATTAAGTAATTGCCAATTTGCTACTATTACATGTCATAATATCAATGGTGGGATTCAGCCAGGTTGGGCTGGTTCAGGCGAACCAGTTGTTAAATTTTTGATGGCCCCACCACTTCCAGGAGTCCCCACATGCCCTGTTTTGGCTCCCAGGTAAGTGCAGGGAGGCCTACTAGGGGGTGGCCTGTTTTTGCTCGGGGGGGGTGTTACAGGAAGCCGAGTGCTGCCTGTCACACCCCCTAGACATGCCCACCATGCCCACGCCCACCCAGCCGATCATTAGGGCAGACAACCAGTTGTTAAGTTATTTGAATCCCACCACTGCATATAATATGGAAGCTCTGATATCAAAGGCAGCTTCCACACTCTCTAATGGTTAGGTTGTCCCTGAATTGATTGAGTATCTCTGTTGGTGCTTCTTTATCATCTGTGAACAATTGACATGACCATCAGAGAATGTAGTATTTTCTCTAGGTCTTTAAAAAAGAGAGAGGCAGGTCCAAAATTTAGTGTTATAAATATGATTTTAGTACTTGATTTCTTAGGCTAATTCCCAAATCCTTGCCTTTAGAAATAATTTCAGTAGCAGGCCTGGAAACTTAAGAATAGTATAAGAGATATTGGCTAATCATAAGAGCTATAGCTGTATCAAGGACCTTATGAGTTTGCCTCTGTTATCAGAAGCCAAAAAGGGGGGGCACATTAATGAGGGGCAAAAACTAGGTATCAAAGAAGCCTGAGTTATGAAAGGGCCTTTGAAGAAAGCAACGGTTTTGAATCAATGGATACTGAGACTATTGTTAGCAAGTTACATGTGATTTAGGAAAACTTGTCAACTTAGTTCAGCTTGAAGGAAATGGCATCTGAGAATGAGCAAACAGGAGAAATATGTGGAATGTGTCAGAAGAAAAATGAATGAGGACAGGAAATAGAGGGAAGGTCTGTAAAAGAGAATGTGAAAGAAGAATTCTGACAATTGTCATTTTTAGGTCACTGAATTTATTTGCAGATCCCCTCTACAAAGACAAGGCAAAAAGCTAGATATGTCATTCAATTGTCTTTAACAACCCCTTAGTAGAAGTGGGTTTCTGCCCGTTCAACCCAGATCGGGAGAACTAGTAGTGGCAGTGGCAGGAGGCTCTGCCCATCTGCCCGGACGTTTCTGCACATGCACAGAAACATTACATGCATGTACATGACCGAACAGGTAGTAAAATGGAAACCCATCACTGCCCCTCAGCCTTAATTCTACAGACTGACAAAACTCATTTCTACTGGGGGTTTTTTTCATCCAAAAAAGATTTTTCTAATAGATGTGTTGTTATTCCCCTTCTTGACCAGTTCTTCCTGTGCCTCAGAATGCTCCAACATTGATAGAAAGAGGCCATAATTTTCTCAGGATTGCAACAAATGCTGGATCGTATTTTGGAGATGGACCAATTGTATCCACTCAGATTCTATACCAACGTGCCAACTCTCAATGGATGTCAGAGCAAGGTAAGACTTAAACAAATCACTCAAAATTGCTCTCCAAAAACATTTCACTTTCACATTAAGTCCTATCATATCTATGTTGCATTTGTTCTATGCTTCCAGGATTCTTCAAATTTTAATTTTATAAGATGCCTAGAGGCCAATATGTAGGCAGCATACAAACTGAATGAATGAATGAATGAATGAATTGCTTTAGCAGAGACTTTTCAGCACTTCAACTATTACAGTTTTCAAGACAATTGAGAGGAAACTATGGTAATTATAGTGACATACAGCTGATATAGGTGTACAGTACAGATAAACCCATAGAAATGATCCTGTTTAATTCCCAGGTCGGTGAACTAAAAATAAATACAGCATTGTCCAGAAGTGTTACTTCTAGTATTTGTCAATATCATACTGATATTCATTTCCTGGGCTAGGGCTAGCGAGTTTCATTATACTCTTTAACAAAGATTGATTACATGTTAAAAACACTTTAACACCTTAACAATGAAGTGTATAGTAATTTTATGCTCCAGATTACCGGTAGTTATTTCTTCTTGAATTCATTTGACTAGCAATTCCTACTCACATCCGAGGTAAAATACTCGATAGAGATTAGGCAATGTTTGTGTGTATCCTATTTTTCATGGGAGGATGGATGGTTTACTAAATGACCTAGCATTGCTTCTATATAGGATTCAGATAGTACATACTATTCCACATATCAAAGCACTTTTGTCTGGAAATAAAGGAACAGGCTGGATATTCTTGTATGGTTTCTATACAGTAGGACAACATAGTTGCCCACAACTGACATGAGCAGTGATGAACAACAAGCTCATTTATTCACTTTTCATTTTTCATCTTTCCCTGTACAGTACTTTCAGGTAATTTTAAAACTTCTGGTTTTGATTTCAAAACAGCCTTAGGATCTTTATGTCTAATCTCAGGAAACTGTGGATTTCTTAAATTATGTTCTCTCTCTCTCTCTCTCNCTTGAGCTATGTTTGATACACAAAGCCACTTAGACCTGTCCATGTTGTTTTAGAGCAGGTGTGTTCAGCTTGTGTCTTGAAGGCTGCACGCAACCCTGGGCAGCTAAAAATGCAGCCCCACAGATTATAAACGTTTAACATTATTATTAGGTGGTTTATATACATTAACTATATTATATATTTTATATGTGGCCCAAGACAACAGTATATATATAGCTGAAGATATCAAACATACCTATTATTTTTTCCTCCTCCTATTTTCCCCACAACAATAATCTTGTGAGATAAGTTGGGCTGAGAAAGAGTGAATGACCCAAAATCATCTATAGACTTTCATGCCTAAGAAAAGGATTAAAGACATTGTCTCCTGGGCTTCTAGCCTGCTGATTCTTCCACAATGCTTTTGCAACTTTCCAATCTAGTCTATAATCCTGGGATTTCCTGAATTCATTAACCAAGAACTGTTCAAATACAAACCTGCTAAGCAGGAGCGGGCTTCAAAAACGTCAGCAATGGGTTCTCTGCCCAGTTGCTGGGTGGGCGTGGCCTAGTTGGCCTCCTGCACACGATGGTGGGGAGTTTTCACCTTGCCCAGGCTCCCTAAGCTTTTCTCGAGCCTCTGGGAGGGCAAAAACTGCCTCCTCCGGGGCTCTGGAGGCCTTCGGGGAGGCCCATTTTCCCCCTCCCTGAGCCTCCACGCGGGCCCTGCACTTACCTCGCATCCAAAACTGGCTACGTGGAGAATCCTGGGAGAGGAGTGGAGGGATGGGCAGGGCCAGCCTGGGGTGGGATTTGGAGGTTCTCTGAACTGACCATAATGTTAGCTACAGGTTCTCCCGAACACAGGGAAACCCGTAGCAGACTACCCCTGCTGCTACACTTCTTCAAAATCAATTGAAGTTGTCTATGCACTGTCATAATATAAGGGCCTAAATCCATTTATGTATCATTTTTCAAGTTCAGACCAGAGAGATTAAACCAACATTTAGACCAACAACTATTGCAATATATGCACCAATGTTCATGGGTGTGCACATACATGTATGGAGGTCATGAATTTTGTCAATCAATTACATTTATTGTGGTTCTTAAATCCGGAATATCATTGTTTCATTACCATTTGCAAAAAAGCTTAATAACAGGTAATGAAACACCGATATCCCCAATTTAATAACTAGGATAAATTTTACATTTAGGATTGTAATTGACAACCAGATTGGCAGGAAGCCAGTCTGACTCTGATTAGAAGTAATGATGCTTTTCCTACTTACATTTTTTAAAGATGACAATGGCAGCAGTTCAATAATTGTACAGCTGCCATCTCACTGAATCTGCTCATTAGTTAAATTAAAAAGAGAAAGGGAAGAGAAATGATTAAACCTGTGCACATCATTCATTGTCTGTTTCAACATATTGCAACAATGATGTGAATCCCATAATTATTTCTTCCATTTGCTTTTGGGATTTTTAGCTATCTAAAATGAACATATCATATGACTGCCTTCCCAGAATTTAAAATGTACTGATCACAGAAATTTTATCTGAAGTATAGGTAATCCTCGATTTACAACCATTCATATATCACCACATATATCACCTTGGCCACATGGTCAAAATTTGATTGCTTGGCAACCAATATGCATTCTCAACAGCTGCAATGTCTTCGGGTAATGTGATCATCATTTGCCACCTTCCCATCTCCATCCTCCAGCTCTGCCATATATGTGGGATGAGCCTCCCGCAACAGCCAATATAACTCTGGGTGTACCACTTGTTAAATTACTGCCCCCTACTGCTATCAAATTGGATCCTGGGTGTTGCGCTGCAATGGAGAAATGGGAAATGCAATGGCTGGCATGAAGGAAGGAGGATGAGCAGGGAGAAGAAAGAGGGAAAGTGGCCTTCTCCTTCTCTCGTGCTGGCCGCTCCGTTGCTCGTTTCTCCATTGCAGCGCAGTGCGCAGGATCCACTTTAATAGCAGGTTATATGTGTGTGTAATTTTATAACCAGTTCACCCGAATCGTTGAGAACTGGCTGAATCTCACCACTATGTCTAGTCCATTATCTCTAATCAAAGCAGTTAATTTCGCCATCTCTGACTGAAATTCAGTCAGTTTCAAATTCCATTCTTCAACAATCAGAATCGCAGCCATAATCATGATCACAATTGTGATCATAAGTTGAGGATATCTTTACCTTCATCTTTTGCCATACATTAAATAAATAAATAAACCTCCAACTTTCAAACTTTTAAAGGCCACAAACACAATCACTCCACACACACGCAGAAATCTATGACTAATTTTTCTTTTTCTTTCTTTTTCTCCTCCCCCCCCCCCTAATTACTTGCATAGGGATTATTATTTATACTATTTATGTTATTTGCATTTTTGGTCATGATTGCACCAGTGAGGCTAAAACCAATTTTGTTGTATATATGATGTACAATGACAATAAAGCTATACATCTGTGGATGTGACTCTGATCAGAAGCTACAAGTCAGCAAATCATACTGCAGAATGTTTGTGTGTGTGTGTGTGTGTGTGTGTGTGTGTGTGTGTGTGTGTGTGTGTGTGTGTGTGTGTGTGATGTCAAAGCACCCCATGTGCCAAATATGGGAGGAGCATACTGCTTCCCTTTTGCTTTTCAGCTCCACTCTAGGAGCCTTCCAAGCAGAAAACCATTTTTGTG